TCTTGAGGAGGACAAGATCGTCATCATCTAGCTCAAGTGGATCATGTGCAAGGCAAAGGTTTGCCCTTGATAGGTTTTCTATTTTACCGGTCTCATGGTGGTAGTTGGGAGACCGGGTTATAGGATCGATAGCCGTACTATCAAGGGGGGCTCTCAAGTGAGTAGCTTGATCGTATCGTTCGTCGAGAGCTCAAACCATTGCATCCTTGCATCATGTGTCTTGGTTCTTGTTTGGTTCTCTTTGTGAGTCTTAGAGCTTATGGTCATCTTGATGACAAGCTTGAGTTCATCGAAAACGGAGTTTGCATGGGTCTTCTATGATGTTTTCGGTGTTGAAGGTTTTACCGGTCTTATCCGAGAAAGGGTACTCACCATTTTCTTTTGGGCCTTTTCTCATTTGCTTCTTATTGGTATTTATATCAAGATTGTGTTAGCCCTTGTCGCTAGCTTTCCAACAAACTTGGTTTCGTCGAATTCGGAGTCCGTTTGCAGAAGTTGTGTCAGTTTTGGTGTTCTGAAAAGGCTGCAGCGGTACTACCGCGGACAGGAGCGGATGTAATTTTTTACTACCGCTCTTGGGAGTGGTACTACCGCTTGGAGCAGTACTACCGCGGCTACTTCCGTGGCTACTTCCGCTCGGGACCAAAAACTCATCACAAGTCCAGCGGTGGTAGGCACGGATGTAATTTTTTAGTACCGCTCGCAAGCAATAGTACCGCTACCCTTAGCAGTAGTACCGCTACCCCTAGCGGTAGTACCGTGAGGTCAAGCAGTACTACCACTCCGACGGTTCTTCTGGCTTTTTTGCCTCCTCGCCATTGTGTTTCAAAGGGCTACTACTGCCCTAGCGGTAGTACCACTCCTTGGAGCGGTAGTACCGCTCGGTGCGGGCTGTGAGCATAGCGGTTGGATTTTTCCCCACCTATAAAAGGGGGTCTTCTTCCCCAATGAACCTTATCCTTTGAGCTCGTGTTCTTCCCCCATTGTTGACCTTCTTCGAGCTTGCTAACTCTCAATCCCTCCATGGATTCTTGCTAGTTTTTGAGGGAAAAGAGAGAGGAGATATAGATCCATGTTTCCACCAATCACTTTCTCCTCTAGGTGAGGGGAACCCCTTGGATCTAGATCTTGGAGTTCTTGGTGTTCTCCTTCTTGTTCTTCCTCTCATTTTCCTCCCTAGCATTAGTTGCTTTGTTGGGATTTGAGAGAGAAGGACTTGGGCACTCCGTGTGCCCTTGTCATTGCATTTGGTGCATCGGTTTGAGTTCTCCACATGATACGTGGAAGTTACAAGTTGAGAAGCTTATTACTCTTGGGTGCTTGGTACCTTTGAGCTTGCTCCTCTTGGGTGCTTGGGCGCCCTAGATGGTTGGTGGTGTTCGGAGCTCAATCATTGTGGTGTAAAGCTTCGGGCAAGCGTCGGGGTCTCCAATTAGGTTGTGGAGATCGCCCCGAGCAATTTGACGGGTACCGGTGACCGCCCCCAAGGGTTGCCAAAGTGTACGGGTTCAGTGACCGCCCCCAAGGGTTGTCATTTGTACGGGTTCGGTGACCGCCTTCAAGGGCCCCTTAGTGGAATCACGGCATCTTGCATTGTGTGAGGGCGTGAGGAGATTACGGTGGCCCTAGTGGCTTCTTGGGGAGCATTGTGCCTTCACACCGCTCCAAACGGAGATTAGCATCCGCAAGGGTGTGAACTTTAAGATACATCGTCGTCTTCGCGTGCCTCGGTTATCTCTTACCCGAGCCCTTTACTTATGCACTTCACTTTGTGATAGCCATATTGTTTCTTGTCATATATCTTGCTATCACATAGTTGTTTATCTTGCTTAGTATAAGTTGTTGGTGCACATAGGTGAGCCTAGTTGTTGTAGGTTTTGTGTTTGACAAATTAACCGCTAGGTTTATTCCGCATTTGTTCAAGCCTAAACCGTAATTGTTTTAAAGCGCCTATTCACCCCCCCCCCTCTCTAGGCGACATCCACGATCTTTCACCGGGCCCTCTATGTTGGTCCCTATTCTTCATGTGCATGCGTTTGTAATCTTCCTAGCCGTCAGATGTCCGTCCCGACACAATTGATACATCCATTTTGCATCATATTTTCCTACTATTATTTTTATTGTTTTGAAACTATATTCCACTTTATGATGCAATTCTAATGCATTTTCTCTCTTAAAATGCGAGATACACCAAAAGAGGGAGATTGTTGGCAGCTGGAATTCTGACCTGAAAAGGCTACACTAGAGATAGCTATTCCGTGGAGCTCAAAATGATGTGAAAACCTAGGGAAAATTATTTTGGAATATATAAAAATACTGGAAGAAAGAAGTACTAGAGAAGACCCTCGATGGGGCCACAAGTCAAGGGGCGCGCCATGGTGACTTGTGGGCTCCACCGAGGCTCACTAATTCCCACCTTCTCCTATATGAAGCCATTTACCCTAGAAAAAAATAGAGAGGACTTTCAGGACTAGCCGCCACCGTCTCGAGGTGGAACCAGAGGTTGAGCACTTTTTCTCTCCGGCGGAGCGATTATGTTGGGGATACTTCCCTCCAGGAAAGGGAAATCGAAGCCATCTTGATCAGCAATACTCCTCTCATCATGGTAGGACTCATCTCCGTCAGCATCTTCACCAACACATATCATCTCTAAACCCTAGTTCATCTCTTGTATTCAATCTTTATATCAAACCTCGGATTGGTACCTGGTGGTGCTAGTAGTGTTAATTACATCTTGTAGCTGATACTATTCGGTTTACTTGGTGGAAGTATGTTTAGATTGTTAATCACATATTTAATTATATCCTCTGATCATGAACACAGTTATGCTTTGTGAGTAGTTCTATTTAATTTGTTCTTGAGGACATGGGAGAAGTCTTGTTACTAGTAATCATGTGAAGTTGGTTTTCGTATATGTTATGTTGTTCTTCCTCTAGTGGTACCGTGTGAACGTCGACGGCATGACACTTCACCATGTTCGGGCCTACGGGAAGGCATTGTGGAATTAGTTTGTATATGATGGGTTGCGGAGTGACGGAAACCTAAACCCCAATTTATGAGCTATTTCGTAAGGAGTTGTTTTGGATCCTTATGTTTAATGATATGGTTAGGTTTATATTAATTCTTATCTTGTATTTGCGGATGCTTGCATGGAGGGGATAATCATAAGTAGGTTGTTTGTTCAAATAAGAATAACACCTTAGCTCCGGTCCACCCACATAGCAATTTATCAAAGCAATGAACGCGAGTCAACGAATGATGGTGAAAGCAACTAGATGAATTCTCGTGTGCCCTCAAGAGCGCTTTAATCACTATAAGAAGTTCCTCCGGCTTGTCCTTAGGAATAATAAGGATTGGGCCACCCTGCTGCACCTTGTTACTTTGGTTACTTGTAACTTGCTATCAATCATCTTGCTATCAAAACTATCTTACAAGACTGGCAAGAAATACATTGCTAAAAACCGCTTATCGATTCCTTCCGCTCATTGTATGGTTCGACACACTTATCGAAAGGACTACGGTTGATCTCATATACTTGTGGGTCATCAAAAGTCACTACTCAAAAATGGCTAGTTTCTTGGCTTGCTATATATACCCCTCTACCACTTCGATAGAGGGTTGACCACTTCATTTGAGCAAACCCTATAACACAAAACTGCCCCCTGTCTCCCCTCTTCACCAAATCCTAGATTCCAGCGGGATTCTTGGGAGTTCTTGAAAGATATTCCACCAAGTGATAGATCCACTCCTTCCCTATCTCTTGACCAAAGGAAATCGTAATTTAAGCAAGTCTTGAGCTTTTCACCATTTATCGTGTTACTCTTGGAGGTCGAAGACTCCTATGTGGTAGGAGCTCTTCGGTGAGGAAACGATTTGTTGTGATTCACCCTGAAAAGTTTGTGAAGGTTTCGAGACCACCTCAAGGTCTACCAATAATGGTTTAGAAACGCATTCGTTCTGATATCTCAAAGAAAATATGGTGAGCTTTCGTGGTGTTGGTGTGCCTTCATAGTAACACACATCCCTTCAATGGTGACTAGGTTCCCTTCAAGGAAGTGAACATCATGATACATCCTCGTCTCTGGAGTTTCGGTAATCCATAGCCCTAAGTCCTTCCTTGTAATTTGACTATCTATTTGTTGTTGTTGATTATACTGCTAGCTCTGGAATCGCTCTTGCAATTGTTGGACCCACTTTCATATTTCGCATTATTGTCTAAAACTGCTAAGTAATAAT